TTTTTTAAAAGACTACGAATGTTTTCTTTGAAGCTGATTTTCTACCAAGCGCGGTAACAAAACAGGAAGTGAGACAAGAAAGGTTTCCAAAGACTAAGAGTTGACCAAAGTGGTGACACCTGACTCTGATCCATCCTGTGTCTCTTCACTGTCATTTTCAGATGGAAATTTTTTTTGCCGGATCGATATATTTTTTCAAACGACGCGGACGGAGCTGTGGCTGACGGACATGGTGCACTTTTGGAGACGTCCAATCGATCGCAGCGCCCTCTGTCTTTCCTGACCTGTCATTTTTCTCTGCAGCTTCTTTAAGATGATTCTCAACAAGTTTGAAAGTGAAAACAAAATATTTCTACAGAAACTACAAGAAAATAATGATTAAATATGTATGAGCGTGTTCAGGCTCGGTTTCATCCATACTTAAACATGTGCCGCTGCACTGCTCTGTCAGCCCACAGTGTGTGTGTGTGTGTCAGTGTGTGTGTCAGTGTGTGTGTCAGTGTGTGTGTCAGTGTGTGTGTCAGTGTGTGTGTCTGTGTGTGTGTGTCTGCTTCTAAATTTAAAATATCACCATGGTCAGTGAACGCCTCACCGTCCCCTGTGGGACTCCCGGGGCCAGAACCTTGATCATCTACTGGCTGAACTACAGAGGCCTTGACGTGTGATTGGTTGACAGCAGCTACAAGGTCGGATGCTGGTGTCAACCCCCGGTGGACACTGCTGGGGCTCGTGCACGTCGTACATTCACAATCTTCTGAGTGCAGTCGCCGCCATCACTGAGAGCTTTACTTTTCTTTGACCAAACTCTGGATCCTGATTTATCAATAACATCACGTGGTTATTATCCTGTAAATGTCCTGATCGTTTCCACCTCTGACATCACCGTCTGTTTACAGGACCCTCAGATAAAGACCTCAGATGACTCTCTGTCCAACTTAGGGTTTTCATTTATTACTGTTAGTCAACACTCAACCAACAAATGTCTTATAACTTCAGTTTTAAAACGTCCAATAAAAACTCAAATCTGTAGGTGAGAAAACAGAAGTCATCACCAAATCGTTTTTTCCATTTAAATCCTTTAGTCTCTTTCTGAAATGGAAACTTCTAGTAGGAAAAAAAAAACTGCAGAAGATTCATCACATGGTCACATGGTCACATGGTCACATGGTCACATGGTCACATCCTTTAACCACACTTTTTATCCACTTCAGTAATGAAATACTTTCCTCTCATTGTCAGAAATGCAAAGGTCTACGGTTCTACGGGTGTTTGATTACACACACACACACACACACACACACACACACCTTGCCTCCATCTAACATCACAATAAACAGTAGAGCCTCGGTCTGCCAAACACAAACAACTGTCAGGCCAGATTTGCTTTTCCGGAGGACACACACACACACACACACACACGCCTCCAAAAAGAACAACTTTTGTTGGCGTTGACATGGTTACAGGCTGGAGTCCCCTCAGTATTTCAGGAGCCACAGTGAGTTTCTTTAACATTCACATGAAAAAAAAAAAACAGTGCTGCTCAAAAACAGGAGTCTGGAGCTTTAATAAATGAACACACACACACACACACACACACACACACCACTGTGTGGTTCTGTTTTCCTGGTAGATCTATACTTGTGGGGACACAGTTTAAAACCACAGCGGTTGTTGTGAAAACGTTGTCCTTGTGGGGACGTGTTGACGGTCTCTGAGTGAGAGGGTGGACGACTGAGTCTGGAGCTGGGATTAGATCCAGGCCAGATTAGAGACGGATTAAAGTGAGACACACACAGTTATGACAGTTAAGGCAGGAGCAGAGGAATGAAGGAAGGGGAAGTGGAGGGGCTGAGAAAACACAAAAACCACTGTGTGTGTG